GTGACTATGATTTCAAGGACAGTTTTCGGCATTCCAAGATGACTACTACAAGAACTTTTTTCCGATTGATCTTTGCCACAAAGGTTGTTCAGTGCCATGATCACGAAAATGGTATTCATTTCTGGCGCTGGCGCTGTTTGACGCCATCATCTATCTCACCTATGTGGAAAAGACGAGAACCTATATACGGAGGCTATTTGACATTCACGAATATCCCCTTCATTTCTAACGCTGGCGCGATTTGACGCCAACTTGGCATTATCGCTGGTTACCAAAATCGATGAAAACTTATGCCTAGGGGTTAGTTGACAACCTGATCACGAATATAACGTTCATTTTTGGCGCCAGTGTCAAAGTAGGGCACTGTGATCATCTGCGCTCTTTTAGGCTGAGCCTGGCGGGGATGGAATCATGTTCTCAGGCCCAGCCTAAGCAGGGCGATGAATTGCGCTGGTGCCGAAGAAAGTGCCATTTTCATGATCAGGGTCTCAACCAACCCTATTAGGCTTTTCCATCGATTCAGGGTAAAAGATGGTCGCGCCAAACCGCGCCATTTTTTTCGTTAGCGACAAAAACGAATGTATTTGTGATCAGGACACCGTATAACATCTATCGGCAGTGTTTCGGCAATTTGTTTCGAGTTATCTCGATATTGATGCTTTCAGATAGTCTCGGTGCAACAATACAATCATGAAATGGAATCTATCCAGATATTTATCAAGGCTAAGAACTTCCTTGTGTACCAGGTGAGAAATTTTTCGTGCTTTCCCGGAATACCCCCTAGCGAAGTACTATACAGCGCTATTTTTTGAATGATCTTGTTTCCAGGGACAAATCGAATCCATTGCCATGAAAAATCCTAAAGAACGAACTGCTCTGTTTGAAGAGATTTCGAGGTACGTCCGGCTCATCCATCTTTCTCTTCATTCTCTGATTTTTTTTCCTGGCACAGTTCGGCTAAGGAGGGGCGTTTTTGCACTTTTGCTGCTTCCCGTTATCGTGTGCATTGATGCATTGTTTATGAGAATTGACAGGTTTTACAAACTTTAACTGGTATAACTTCATGGCTTCACAAGGTTTCACAAGTCTTACAAGATGGTTCCGCACGATAATGGGAAGCAGCGGGAGTGCGAAATGCTGCCCCCCCCCACCCAAGCCAAACTGCGCGTTTTTTTCCTGGACAGGGAGGAATTCCTCAATAAACTGCGTTAAGGTCTTGTGAGCTACAACCTGAGTATGATCGCTTGAAGTTGGAGTTACAAAAGGCAGAAGAAGATGCTCAGCAGAATATGCACAAACGCCGTGGTATTGCCCAAGAGAAAAGGGAAGCGAAGCTGGAACGGGATGAGGCGGAGAAATACCAACATATGAAGGACGATTTGGTGAGAAGCGCTCTCTAGGGAGTCCATAAAGTTGTTTCGATTTATGCCTCATTTTTTGCTTTTAGGCTGCCAAACAACGACAACTTTACTTACTCGAGTTGTTCTATTGTGAACGCTATGGGAAACAAGCGCAAGACGACCTGGCCGCTAGGAAGAAGTTGGTGGCAGAACTTGAAAATAAAAAGGTAAATAAGTTGATTTGGTATACAGCATCATTGGGGGAATCCCTTCAGGTTGGAGAAGAGAGAGGGGGGGGTCGTACTTGTTCGCTACACTCTCCCCTACTTGCCGTCAAGTCCTATTCAGCTACTAGTTTCGGCTTAGTTCGGTTTTGTGGAGGCATTTAGGTGGTTGAGATTTGCACTTTCCTGTAAAGCTGTGCAATAACAGGATATTGTATATTTGGTGACGATTCCCCTTCCTTCTGGAGGCTAAAGACTGGGGGAAGGATGGGAAATTCACTGAAATTTGCGAAAAGGGTTGGAAGCTGGTCGAGTTTAAGATGATGATAGGTAGGATAGGATAAGAGGGGTCGTTCCGTAGGAAGACCTTGGGTGGGGGGGGGTTCATCTGACTCCCCCTCTATCTCTATGAACTGTTTTTTGCATACGATTCTGCCAAACTGTGTTTTAGAACGAGGTTGATGAATCAGTCAGTGAAAAGCACAAGCTGGTCAAGAAATCGCAACGAGACAGTCATAAGCTTGAGAAGGAAATCGCGGACAAGGTCGGGTGAAACTCGTTATTTTTTCCAAGATCAGGCCCGGCAAATCATATTTGTAGGAGCGAGAAATCGCCCATGAGCGGCCATTGTATGTACAAGTAAAGCAGGAAGTCCTCCATGTGAAGACCAAGCTAGAAACCTGTAATAAAACGTTGAATGCTGCGCAGAAGCTTGCTGAACGCAATGAAGAGCAGGTGCAAGCCATGGAGAACTCTGCAAAGTATGCGATCCATTTCCAAACTTTTTCCTCAGTTTTCTATTTTTTTTTGCCTTATTTGACACCACCTTGGCCATCCTTCTGCCATTACAGTCTTTAATTACAGAGAGCTGGAGAGGAAGAAAGCTGAATGTGAAGCAGAACTTGAATCGCAGAGCCAGGAACTTGATCTACATCTGAGCGAAGATCAGGTTTGTGATGGTCTCCTTTCAGTTCCTAACGCATTTTTTTTCGTTTTTGTTGCTGTGATTTCCTAAAGGTAATGTTTAGATTAATGAGTATGTCATGCTAAAGCGTGAAGCTGCTAAAAGATCTGGTATAATGGATATGCAGCTCAATTCGATGAGGCAAGAACACGAAACTGATCGAAGGTATGTGTTCTTCAGTACTATTTTTTTTACTAAGGCGGAAGGTGTTTTAGCGGCAAGTGGTAAGCTTACCATGCGCGCGGTCCGGGAGACAGATCCCAGATCGGCTCCCGCAAAGGCCAGCCAAGCTTTCTACTCTCTGGGGCAGTAAATGGTACCAGACTGGGATAGATAATAGAGATGCAAGGATAAAAATACTGAGTTGTATATCGTCTGGCCCTCGCAATTCATTGTCATGCCGCATTCATTGAGCCACTGCGATTCTGAATGAAAGTAGAATGCGTGCCTCATCAAATGGATGAACGGCGAAGACTTCTTTTGTGTTCATATTTTTCATTTTTGTTATGTTCGTAAACCAAGCCACACACAGGCCCCTTTAGTCTTCTCGTTTCCTTGGGGTCATTGAGTTTTCCTGTCCTCAATTGTGGCTGTTTTAGCTCGAAAGTGAACGAAGAACGTCGCATGAAAGCTTGGCAGGAGAAGATCAAAAATAAGAAACAGGAAATTGAGCGACTCAAGAAGCAGGTAATTACGCGAATCTCCTTAACAAAGAAACATAGGTACGCTATACACATTGCAAGGTGTATGAGCACTACCAGCCCCCAGATGTCGATGTATGTGTCCCCCCCCAAACATGCCCAGGAATGGAGATACAGGGCCGTGAAACACGCTAATTCTTCCATGCTCCGCCCACTGCCTTTTTACGGCGCAGATTCCCGCCGTTCATAACATCCGTCGTAAGCGCGCCTGTCGCGTGCGGCTCCTTGGCACTTTGCCAAGTCCTTTAATTGCGCTCTCAAATACAAGTAAAACGCAATTTCCTGATGCGGATAACACTGGAAGTGCTGCAAAGTAAGAACAGAAGATGATGACGAGGGTCAGAACTTAAAAGCAACTGTGCCACTTCTGCAACATCCCTCGGAGGCCACGTATTTCCACGAAACATGAAAATAAAACGGCATACTCGTTAGTTTAATACAAGCAAAACGCAATTTCCTGATGCGAATAAAATTTGAGGTGTTGCTCATGCTTCAAAATCCATGTACAAGGAGATGATGACACAGGCTAGAAATGAAGCACAACGATGTAAATGTAAACAAAACAAAAATGAAAAAATCAAGGAAAGGCAAATTAGATAAACTGGCCTGTAAATTTCTACGATCCGGCGCCAAAGCCATAGAAATACTTAGAACAAACGAGTGGGACGCTTGGGCTGTTTTTATTTTCATGTTTTGTGGAATGCGCGGCCTCTGATGGATACTGCAGATGCAGCCGAGTTGCTCTTGAGTTCTGGCCCTTGTCATCATCTTCTGTCTTATTTTGTAGCACCTCCAATGTTATCCGCATCAGGAAATTGCGTTTTACTTGTATTTGAGAGCGCAATTAAAGGACTTGGCAAAGTGCCAAGGAGCCGCACGCGACAGGCGCGCTTACGACGGATGTTATGAACGGCGGGAATCTGCGCCGTAAAAAGGCAGTGGGCGGAGCATGGAAGAATTAGCGTGTTTCACGGCCCTGTATCTCCATTCCTGGGCATGTTTGGGCGGGGGGACCACGACACATCGACATCTGGGGGGCTGAGTCTCATACAATGTGTATGAGCGTACTATGTCTCCTTAACAGAGAAACTGCACTCTTTCACTGGTCTCTTCCCTGGGGAACGCCTGAAAGTACTAATTTCGCAGCTCAAAAATGCGTGGGGAAATGCGCCGCCTGTTCATGAGCAGGCCACTGCCCCAGACGCTGGCAATGCCCAACCTTCATTTTTAATTGCAATCTGCGATTGTGCGGTTGTTTTGCTCAGCTCTCTCTCTCCAGCAGATTGATGAGCAGTGGACCAACGCCAACAAGTGCAAACTCGTCCGACCACTCCCTTTCTTGGCATTGTGCGCGTACCAGCGCGGCTGAGCATGGAGGTCGATAGGGAGCATTCCGGGCAGGCTTCTAGTGTTTTTCCTTCTCATTTGTGTTATTTATCATCTCGTCATGAGCAGTTGAGCGACACGAATCACCATTTTTACCGGGGCGTGCGTTCAAAAATAGTCAACGAAAAACTACAGATTGCACACTACCTGTTTAACATGTTCCGGGCCGACGCCTATTTCGCGTGGCATTCACGTGTGACCGCGGCCTTTTTCGATGCGAGGCTGGCGTGACACACATGGTGTGTCACGCGGCCACACGGGGCAGGTTTCAGTCGCGATTTTTCTCACTGATTATTTCACTCTGAAAACTTGTACGTGGGGGTTATTTCACATCCCAAGCACGCGCCAGCAGGAGCCAATTTGGCGCCACGATCGTATTTAGCAATCGATGTAACTTTGCATTCGGGGGTACTCAGGGATCGCGATCTCGAATATGACATTCATTTTTCATCTGACCCCTGACAACCGGTTCCGATCGATGGCCAGCTATCAAGAGGGCATTTTTCCGGAACGCCGATTCCGCTGATTCTCCGCTGCAAAGTATGAACACATCCTCATCCAGCGCCGGCGCCAGGAATAAATGTCATATTCGTAAACAGGATGTCAAATAACCCCCGTACACAAGTTTTCATCGATTTTGGTGATTTAGGGTGTTTTGGCGCCGGCGCCTGTGGCGCGGGCGCCAGGCAGTTTCGGGCGAAGCGGATGTGATATTCGTGTTCAGGAGGTCGAAGTACCCCTACGAGCAAATTTTCAGCCAAATCTGCCCTTGTAGAAAAAAGTCGGTAAAAAACCGGCCTGATTTCGGCAGACTGGGGTAGGAATAGTTCGGTAGTGCCGGCTACCCTTTCGAAAAATGTTTTACAAATAAACTACCGGTGCTTTTCATGGCCCAACCATATGCAGGAATTCGTACCCTACAGGGATATATAACAACTCAAAGAATTCGCGCAACAGTCAAAACATAGGAAAATTTTAGCTTCTGAAGATCGTGACACACCATGTGTGTCACGCGGCCACAGGGAGCAGACAAGTGTGACACACCATGTGTGTCACGCGGTCCGGAATGTGTTAAAAAGCCGCATGATGCAAATAAGGCCTGTTAGGGGACTGAACTTTGATCGATACATTAATTTCATATGCGGTAATTTTTTTCAGATTGACTATCTTACGGAAAATGCGGAACAACAGAAACAGGTCCTCCAAAACGAGAAAGTCAATCTGGTATCAATGGAGAAGCAAGTGAAGGAAAGCAAGGAAAAGTTAGAGAAGGTGCTGAAATAGCTGTTGTAGTCATTTCTGTTGTCTTTTACTCCCAACCTTGCCGTTTTCAGGTATCTATTGAGCTTAACGAAATCAATAAACAGCTCTCTGATGCAAGTGGTGATTCGGCGGAATCAGAGCGTGTAAGAAGACGCAATGAAGCCATTGAAAATCTTAAGAGGGTTTTCCCAGACAAGGTAAAAAACGATTTTCAAACCCGGTCAAAACATTTCAGTTCATTCTCTACGTCAAGTTTGCTTGTAACCCTTTGGAACGCGTTCATACTCCGCCGTCGGATCGCTTGGATCGCGCGATCTTATCGCGCGGGCGTGTGGATCTCGCAATCTGATTGTTCGAGCGAGTGAATCGTGCGAAGCCGCCCAGGGGCGATCGCGAAGTATGGACGCGATCTCAGAGGTGTGCCTAAATGTGACGCTCTCAGAATACCTTTCCAGGTCCATGGTCGTCTGGTCGATCTGTGCCAGCCTAGCCATAAGCGCTTCAATTTGGCTGTGACGAAAGTTCTCCAAAAGCATATGACGAGTATTGTCTGCGACACTGAAGATACTGCAAGGGATGCGATCATGTATTTGAAGGTGAATTGATATTTACTTCAGGTTTTTTTTGCTCCGATAGGAGTAGGGCAGTGGGTACAGATTCCAAGCAGTTTGTTTGTAAGGGCGGGAGAGGCGTACAAGATCAAAATTATACAGCAATGTTATTGAGAGATCCTTGCCAGTTTTTGGACAGTTCGTGGATGCCATCGCTTAACAATGCACGCCGGCGCGACGCAAAGTTGGACATCATTGAAGGACGGTCTTGGGCTC